CATAGTGGTTTGAGTTGATTTCTGGGTTCTCTATTCTATTCCATTGGTCTATATATCTGTTCTTGTGCCAGTACCAGGCAGTTTTGAGAACAGTGGTTTTGTAATACAGCTTGATATCTGGTATTCAGATCCCTCCTGCTTTGTTCTTTTTTCTCAGGATTGTTGCAGCTATTCGGGGTCTTTTTTTTATTTGAGATGAATTTTTGGAGAGTTCAGTAAACATTCTTCTTAACATAGATAGCCCTCTAGATAGTTTGACCACTTTATATTCCCACCAGGAGTACTAAAGGTACCTGTTTCATGGGATCCTTAGATATAATAATTATTTTAAAGTGTGTGTTCTTCAGTAAGTCTGTAAGTATAGACATTCAGACTGTATATGAAGAAAATATTAAGCAGCTCATAGCTATAGAATTAATGTTTAACAGTTGTTCTTGAAGTTTATATTCTGTTTTTGAAAGTAACTTCTAAAACAGTGAATGTTCTTTTTAAAATTTATCTTTAACAGCTTTATTGAGATGTAATTCACATACTGTTCAGTTCAGTGCTTTCTAGAATATTCACAGGTAGGTGCAGTAATCACCTACAGTCAATTTTAGGGATGTACTTTTTTTATATGAGAAATTTCAGCATCTTATAGGAGTGTGACTTTTGCTTCTTTCAAAAAGTGGCTTTAGAAAAATAGTTATAATGAAGGCATTGACGTGTGCTAAGGAATTATATGTTTAATGAAAAGTTTCAAACTACATGCTATTTAGACTATGAAAATGAAAAAGTTCTATCTTGAAGAATTTTGAAATTAAAGATTAACATATAGAACTCTAGAAAAATTATTTTTATCTTTTCATGTAGCTAAAAGACCAGCCTCAGGACAAAGCTTGGCTTCTGTTGTGTCTGCTCAGCAAATTACAAAGCCTGCTGCTAAATATGGAGTGCCTTTAACATATAAGAAATATGGAGAGAAAAAATTACATGAAAAGAAGCCACTCCAAAAAAATAAACAGGTATGATCGTGTTACAAACTGTGTCATTAGTAACAAAAATCACTTTGACCTTTTTTTTTTAATTGCAGCTCATTTCCATTATCTTGACATTCATAGGATTGTTTTTATTTAGTTACTAAAGAACATTGTTGTTGCTCTGCTTCACCAGTCTTCCAAAACCAAGAGGACTTAACAGAAGTCATAAAGAAACATTAAGTAGATAAATTAACCAAAGTAGTTAGCACGTTAAAAAGAAAGTGATGTTATAAATGAAATAATTTTTTAAACAACCTAAGCAGAGCCATTTGTGTGTGTGTGTGTGTGTGTGTGTGTGTGTGTGTAAAACAAGTAAAAATCTGTGATGCACTTGATAAAAATCTGGGAAATTTTTGTATTTGAGAATTCACAAGCAGATAAATATATCCACAAAACCCACTTACACTACATTGTCAGCAAAATTCCTTGTATTCTAATCTTTTAAAGATTGCCCTCACTGCTCTTGTTCTAAAGTCTGGCTTGTCTCTGACCACACTGTTGTGCAGCTCTTTTACTTGGTCACTACTTTCTTTCTAATCCCTTATTACTGCTGAGTCTAGGGTGGGGTGAGGGAGGTGTTTTCCTTCTCATTGCCAGACTATTTCCTGCTTCCTAACCTCTCACCTCTTCCCCAAGCTCTGACACTTTTGCCACTAGACTAAATCACCGGCTTACCTACCCACCCACCCCCACCACCATGTTAGGGTCATCTGCAGACCCTCATTTTTGGAAGAGTTTAATACCTGACTCACTATCATCACTCTTGATGATTTTAGTATCCCAAAATGATGACTGTTTCAATAGTGCATGGCCTTTTATTTTCTTGATTGTTCTTTTTCAATGAATGGTCTTGTCTCCTACCATACCTCAGAACTCTCATCTGTAATATGCCATCAAATTTGATAATATTAATAGTAGCAACTATTCCGTCGTTGCAACAATAAACATCCCACTCCCTGACCATTACCTCCTATGTTTTCTGCGCATTCCTCAAAGACTGCCTCCAAAAATGTCTTTGTCTTATTTGGACCTGTGGAACTTGTTTTTCAATGCCCATTTCCTCCTAGTTTATATTTTCCTCTTCTGGCTTAAATTCCATATCAGCTCTCCTGCCCTATTGTAGCTGTGCTCACTTTATATTTATAACCAACAATGTCAAATGAGCACCTTCTGGCTACCCTATGATATTTCCTCAGTCCACTTACTCTCCCATTTTCTAGATGATGAATTTCTTTACCTCCTTGTTTTTCACTTCAGACTAATGATCTTGCTTCTTATCTCACTGAGAAAATAGAAGCCATTAGAAGAAAATTTTTCTACCTCACTTCTGCCAGTCAGTCATATCTGTTTGAAATAGTCTGCTTTTGTTTCTTGTGTGTGTGTGTGTGTGTGTTATAGCTAGTGTTTAAGGTTATTATTATTATTATTATTATATTATTATTTTCCTTCTTTGGGCTCTCTTCTACATCATCATATTTCTTCTCTCTACTGAGTCATCTCTGTTAGCAAACAAACATGTTGTGTCTTTAGTCTCTAAAAAAAAAATCTTTCCTTATCTCCCATACCTCCTTTCAGCTGCTTCCCTATATCCATCTCTGCTTCCTTTAACAGCAGAACTTACCCAAGGCATTGTCTGTGCTGTCTCCCACTCCTCTTCTCATTTCCCTTTGATCCATTCCGCTCAGGGCTTCCTCGTCAGTTGTTACAACATAGCTCTTGACTAGGGCATTAGTGGCCTCCATGCTGTTAAGTCCAGGGGTCAGTTGTCTTCTTCTCCCTCAGCTTCTGATTCACTTGATTACCCCCTTCTTCTTTAAGCATTGTCTTCACTTGAGTCCAAAGTGTTACATTCTTTTGTTTCTCCTCCTACCTTGTTGACTGCTTATCTCAGCCTCCTTTGCAAGTTCCTCATGTCCCCGACAGCTTCCTTCTTGTACTAGACTCTCTCTCTAATTGACAGCATCTATAAACAGACACTCAAATTGATATCTCCAGCCTGGACTTCTTGCCTGAGCTCTGTCTTCATATCTCCAATGGGATTTCTAATAGGCACCTCAGAATTAACATGTGTAAAACTGAACTCCTGATTCCACCTCCTTCCCAAACTGTTCCTCTAGTTTCAGTAAATGGCAACTCAGTCCTTTCATTTGTTCTCATCAAAACCTTTGGGGTCATCATTGCCAACTCTTTCAACATCACGTCCTAGCAACCCTGCCTTCAAAATACATTCATGGCCTGATTGTTTCTCATTATTTTTTCACCACATTAGTCCTCCCCACCCCCCTCATCTTTCACCTGGGTTATAATAGTAACCTCCTGGCTGATTTCACTGCTTTCAAACTTAGGTTTTTCAGTCTGTTCTCACTTGAGCAGCCTAAATGCTCCTTTGACAACAAAGGTCAGATTGTTGCAGTTTCCTCCTGGAACTTTGCAGTGGCTTTCCGTCTCTCTCAGGGTGAAGCCAGCGCCCTTACAATGGCCTGCAGAGCCCTCTGATGCCCCCTTACCTCCCTGAGCCTCACTTTTCGGCCCCCCTTGCTATTCCCAGTGCAGCCATGCTAACTGAACCTCGTTGCCTTCAAACATGTCAAGCCCTTAATTGAAAATACAAAAGTGCATTTGTACTTTCTATTCCCTTTTCCTGGAGGACTCTCCCTTGAGAAAACTGTGTAGTTTTCTCTATTAGTTTTTCTCCCTTGAGAAAACTGTGTAGTTTTCTCTATTAGTTCTTTCAGGTCTGTGCTCAAGACCTATGAATAGAGCCTTCATCCTTGACAACTGTCCCTCTCCCCACACCCAGAGTTCTCTCTGCTCTGTTCTGCTTTGTTTTTTTCCACATTGTCGCTATCTAATGCTCTATGTGTTTTTTCTTTATTTGCCAACTGTCCGTCTCCTCCGTAACAGAGCAAAAGCTCTTGAGAGCAAGGAGTTTTGTTGTTGTGTCCACTGGTTCTGGACAAATAGCTTAGACTTTTCCAGGTCATTCAAATGTTCTTTAAAAGAATGAATAACAACCAAATCCCTCTACAGAAGCCATTTTGTTACTTTTGTTAGCAGATAGATAACTATTAAGAAACAAAACCTGGAGAGAGAAAATGATAATGGTTAAGTCTCTTGAGACCACTGAAAGGTGTGCTTATTTCATATGGTCAACAGGAAAAAAGTAGTTTTAGTAACAATTTTGTTTAGTTAGTAAGATAAGTAGTCTGCTAAAATTATTATTAATAGTAGTACTAAAGATACTAAAACAGTGGTTCTCAACCTTGGCTGCACATTAGAATCACCTGGGAATCTTTTTAAAATCCTGATTTCTGGGCCTCATCCTCTGGAAATTCTGTTTCTTTGTTACTAATGTTGTGGCCCCACCCCAAAACAAAGAAACAGAATTTCCGGGGGGATGAGGCCCAGAAATCAGGATTTTAAAAAAGATTCCCAGGTGATTCTAATGTGCAGCCAAGGTTGAGAACCACTGATCTAGATAATCTTTGAGGTCTCTACTTCAGCTGGTCAAAATGTCTCACAATCTTGTATGAGTTCTGGATATTATTCAGATTACCACTCATGGTACTTTGCTTGATTTTGACCCTTTTATGTAATGGTGTTTACTTTGAATTTATATTAGTTCACACAAACACTCCATCCATGCTTTTGTTCCGGCCCTCCGGTCCAGTTTAAGAACCCATTGTGGCCCTCGAGTCAAAAAGTTTGCCCACCCCTGGACTATACCATGTATACGCTTTTTCTTTCTTGTCTTTGTTCATTAGGTAGCCCCTCCTTCTTTTTAGATGTTCTTCTTTTCTTTGCCTCTTTCTGTGTGGCTAAGTACATGTCACATGGACACTGGATTATTTTGTAAGTCCTTAGAAAATACAAAGTAAAGACCATATTTCTTCTCTCCTCAAATCTTACAGTCCAAATAAAGAGACAAAGGCCTGAAAAAAAAATGAGCAAGTTGTGTGATGACTGCTCACTTTGTTAGCTTTAGATTATATATCCTATATCAATGGTCCTCAAACTACGGCCTGCGGGCCACATGCAAATACAAATACTGTATTTGTTCCCGTTTTGTTTTTTTACTTCAAAATAAGATATGTGCAGTGTGCATAGGAATTTGTTCATAGTTTTTTTTTAAACTATAGTCCGGCCCTCTAACGGTCTGAGGGACAGTGAACTGGCCCCCTGTTTAAAAAGTTTGAGGATCCCTGCCTATATAATAAAAGAGTAATAATGCAAATTGACCCTAATGGGAGAACGACTGGTTGCTATGACGCACACTGACCACCAGGGGGCATACGCTCAATGCAGGAGCTGCCCCTTGGTGGTCAGTGCACTCCCACAGGGGGAGCTCCTCTCTGCCACAAGCTGGGCTGACGGCTTCAAGCGCAGTGGTGGTGGCGGTAGCCTCTCCCACCTCCTCAGCAGTGCTAATGTTGTCCAACTGCAGCTTAGGCCTGCTCCCAGCCGTCAGTCGGGCATCCCCTGAGGGGTCCTGGACTGCGAGAGGGTGCAGGCTGGGCTGAGGGACCTGCCCGAGTGCATGAATTTTCGTGCACCGGGCCTCTAGTAAAAATATAATGCTGGTATTATGGCCTGGGAGACTGTCACATTGGCAATGTGACTTTGGTGTTCAAAGCTCTTCACTGACTGCCCTGGTTAGGTGGCTCAGGTGGTTGGAGCATCATCCTATGAACCAAAAGGTTGCAGGTTCAATCCCTGGTCAGGGCACATACTCAGGTTATGGGTTTGATTCCCAATCAGGGCATGTACAAGAGGCAACCGATCAGTGTTTCTCACATTGATGTTTCTTTCTCTCTCCATGCCTCTCTCCTTTAAACCAATTTAAATTGATTTGGTGAGGACTAAAAAAAAGTTCTTCACTGATCTAAGAGAGGTAATAGTAAGTACCTCAAATACAAGACCTTTCTTGTTTCTTCCCTAAATGTACCCTCCCCCAAAAAAGGCAGGAAAATAATTTCTTCCTTATTTAAACTGCTTTAGCACCTTATTATATTCTCTTGTTATTTTTTTAGACTGTCAACTCTCTGAAGTTAGGACCATCTTTTATACAGTTTGCACAAAGTAAGAGTCTAGTAAGTTTCTTTAAAAAAAAAAGTGAAGAAATTATAGAATAAAGTGAATTCCAAGTCAGTAAAGCAATATCCTGTAATTTTTAAGAGCCGTGAATAGGGTTGGTTAAAGGCCAAATAAAAACCCTGTTTTTAGGCACAATCAGCAGGCCAGTATTTTTGAGCTTTCATCCCTATTGCCTAAGATAACATTATTTCAGTGTAAGGTGATGAAGAGAAATTTGAGCAGAAAATGATCCCTTATATATATATGTTTAATTCTTGAGCTAGAAACTTGATTTCTATTAGAGTTATTTGGTTCTTTGAAGTAATTTCAGTAGTATAATTTTGATCTGAATTTTATTCTATAAAGTATGTATTTCAATAAATTTGCTGTGGTCTTTTAGTATACTTTTGACAGTTTTATAAAATGAAAGGAAAGGAACATATTCCCAGTAGTCAAACATTACATTTATATTGCCTGTATTTTTAATGTAGCTCTGATTTTGTATTTTGATGTTTTTATTTAGTGTTATATATACTTTTTGTACATTTTTCTTTATTATTAGTGATTGTATTATATTTCATTGATATGAAATTAGTCAGATTGCATTCTTATGAATGTCTTCTTTTTTAACAAATCATGCCCTGGATCAAAATTGCTTTGGAAATGTTTTATGTCTTCTAATGGAGTTCAGTGAAATATGATTCAAAGTAAAGATAATTCATAGACAACTTTTGAGATGTTTATTCCAAAATGGCAGTTATTACATCCACAATTCATTTTAACATTTGGCTGTACACATGCAGACTTTCTGGGAATGAATCTATCATTTTGGGGACTATCTTTATATTAGCTCAATAAGGAATGTACACATGGATGGACATGTAGATATGCAGTTGTCTTTTCTCTTGAGCAAGTTTTAGCCTGACTGAATGGAGGGGTTGGAACTCTTGGTGAAATTGGATTAATGATATAACAGAAGGCCCTTTACGTTTGGGTAGGATTGTAGCCAACTATATAATCTATTCTTTCATGTGGCTGATAGAATCAAGAAATATATTGGTTTTCTTAATGTTTCTCTCATTTTCAATTAATATTATTCAGTATGCAAGAGCAGTATGCTCTGATATGTTAAGATTCTAGTTAATAATATTCTGAATAATAGATATTCTATCAAATATTCTGAATGACCCATAAAGGATTTAGATGATAATTATGTGTTCTGGATTTCAGGCAAGTTGTTGTCCTTAAACTTTTTAGGCAAACAAATATGATTTTCCTAAACCAGAACAATGAGAACTAGATAATAATCAGTACTTGAAATATCATATAGCTTATTTTAATACATACCACTTAAAACTACATTTGTATACACACAATGTGAATGTTCTTAATGCTACACAACTGTACTTAAAAATGGTTAAATTGGTAAATGTTATGTGTATTTTACCACAATAAAAAGTAGAAAAAAATTTAAGAGGAAAAATAATAAATAGAAAAAAAGAAGTGGCAATCAAATGTCTGAAAAGTTTTTCAAATCTAACAAAATATTGGAATTATTTTAAATAAGATTTTCAAAATAAGTTTTTTCCCCCTGGGTTTTTACATGACTGTTTTTTATAAAGACTTAATTTCCCCCTGGAAATCTAAAGAAGCATCTTTTAGATTTTTTAACTTTCTATCAAACTTAAAAATGAGTTCATAAGGAAAACCATATTGCTTAATAATATTGTCTTTCATTTAATTTTAATTTCAAAATTTAAGCGAATATATATTACATTATTACTCAGCATATCATAAAATACTTACATATCATAAAACTGTCTTTGCTCCAACCCCTGTAAGTTATATTTTAAAGGCTCTGTTAAAACAAAGAAGTAGTTATTAAGCCACCAGAGGGCGCTCCATGAACACATTTCAGTATTTTGCCTCTGATTTTAAAAAGAAACACAAAAACATTTCTCTTAGTATGGATGTTTTATGTTACCATATTTTTCTCTTCTGTGTAGACATAGTGTTCTGAAAGTACCTGTGTGATCTCAGAGGAACAGTTTGATATTTTTATTTTACAAATGTTTGAGTTCTTATATGTAAGGCAATATGGAACATTAAAAGGTGAATATAACTTACGACTTCTTGTAACTTACCCTAGAGTTTGTAGGTATCTTATTTAAACATTCTCTTCTTATTCTACATTATTGTGTAACCTATTTAAAAGCTGATCATTTACAGTAAGAATCTGTAATACTTGCATTAATATTTTTAAATTGTTTGGTGTTTGTGGTTCACCAATTTTGATACCGGTGTTAGACCTGCCACATTGGAGTTACCTGTGGAACTTGTCAATATATAGAAAGCAGGGCCCCAGGTCCAAAAATTATGATTCATCAACTTTTTGGGATATGTATTTTTTAAAAATAGCTTTATTGCGATATAATTCATATACCATACAATTCATCCATTTAAAGTTTGTAATTTAATGATTTTCAGGGTATTTCCAGAGTTGTGCAACCATCATTGCAATCAATTTTAGAACATTATTATGACACCCTAATCTTCTCCCCATTAGCATTCACTTCCCATTTGTCCCCCACCTCCATACCCCTCAGGAACCACTAATCTACTTCTGTCTCTATGTACATTTGCTTATTCTGGATAGTTCATATAATTGGAATCATACAATATGCGACTGGATTTTTTTATTTAGCATAATGTTTACAAGTTTGTAGCATGTATCCATGTTGTAGCATGTATCAGTACTTTATTCCTTTCTATTGCTAAATAATATTCCGTTGTATGGAAGGAATGTGTATTTTTACAAAGCTTCTGAGTAGCATTTCCCACTAGTTTTAAATTTTATATAATAGAACATACTTTAAAATGTTAACTGTGTATTTGTAAACTATGAAGAGCAATATCCACAGTGGTGTTTTTTTTCCTTATACTTCCATAACAGTGACCCCAGAACTCTCTCTTGACTATTTAAAAACTGTGGAGTGCTCTCTATTAGTAGTGGCAAAATTAGTTTAGTGGATGAAGAGCAGGGACTTTTTAAAAAGGGGATAGAATGGAAAGTAACAGAATCTACTAAACATAGTAAAGTTATTTTATGAAACTTTGGAAGTGTGTGTGTCTTTACTGGGTCTGGATGTGAAATATATTTATTATTGCTGGTTACTTTTAGAAAAAGCTTGAAAGCTACTGTTCTTTAAGTATATCAATGTAGAAAACAAATGCAGATAGAAATGTAGATAACAAATCCTTATCTAATTTGTAGTTTTACTTTTTGTCCAGGCCCATCAAACTCCATTGAAGAAAGTGAATCCTGGAGAAGAAAGGAGGAAAATGTTTGAGGTATAAAGACATCTGTCTGCTTATTTTAAAGCTTTGCAAAACTAATTATAAGAAAAGAAACAAAAGCTATAGAAAAACCTCCAAACCTTTCCTCCTTATTTCTTTATAAAAAAAAAAAAATACCTTTGACATTTCTTTTTTACCTCCCTGGGCATACCTCTACCTTTGGTGTGCTAACTTTCCTGATGTACTGGAAAAAGTAGAAATTATTATTGATAAAAATGTTCTTGTTTATTTAAGGAAGCAGCAAGAAAGAGAAGGTTGGAATTTATTGATAAAGCAAAGAAACAAAAAGATCAGGTAGTTTTTTTTGCTCTTATTCTTCTTCCCTTGCCAAGCTGCAGATGGTATTAGTTTCAAGGTTCTAAGAAGTTTGTCTTTAAAATTGTTACAGATTAGTTTATTGAAGGCTGAACAGATGAAAAGGCAAGAAAAGGAAAGGGTAAGAGGATAATTCATTTTTTCCTGGTATATTCCACTCTCTCCCCACAAACACTTTTTTAAAAAAAAACACTGATTTCCATTTCATCACTAAATGTATTTTATGTATTTTATATTAAATACTTGAAATGGTGTTTTGTTTGTTTGTTTCTTTTCCCCCAAAGTTGGAGAGAATAAATAGGGCCAGGGAACAAGGATGGAAAAACGTGCTAAGTGCTGGAGGAGGTGGTGAAGTAAAGGTAGGCACTTGATACCAATATAGTACTGCCACTCTTTTTCTAGTTTCACCTTGCTCTTTACAATATATATAATTGGCTCTCCTTAGGTGTACATTTAATCTAGAATTCTTCAGCCTCTATTATGAATTCTTAGTTTTTCTGCATTTATTTGATATGTAACTTGTATTGATAACTAGTATGTGACTGGCAATTGCTTAAACATTTTTATGTAAAGGCTGTGGATACACTGTTCCTGCCAGAAGAATCTATTTAAAATCAAATCAAATCAAATTTGCCTGAAATCCTCTGCAGCTTCATGTGTCCTCCAAGATTAAATTTTCAGAAGAACTATGTTCATCTGGCCCCTACCAATCTCTCTAAGCTTCTGTCCATCCATTCCCTACCATACACTGTATGCTCTAGTCATGCTGAACTAAAGACCATACTTGTAGTTTCCTTGTGGAGTGAGGTCTGCTTAATTTTTTCTTTGCACTTGTGTTTCTCTTTATTTGATACTACCCTTCCCTACTTCCTCACTCTCATTTCCATTTCCAACCTAAAAAACAACAACAAGGAAGCTAATCATTAATTGTTTATTAAATAACCAGTTACCTAACTAGATCTGTTAATTCAAACATTTGCTTTGGATAGATCCAGACTATATAACTGTATACACATTACTTAAGTTTTCTGAACCTTAAATTCTTTTTTTAAAAAAATTTAAGAACAGTTCCTGGAGTTTGGTTAGCAAGGTCTCATATGTTAATGTCCTGCTTCTTTCTTTGTTCTGCTAATCTTTATATTGCATTTCCTCTTTTGCTTGTGTAGCATCTTTACCTATCTGTGTAGGCTGACATCTAAAATGGTCCCCCAAATTCCTGACCCCTGGTGTACACACCTTGTATTTTTCCCTCCCCTTGAGTATTGGTGGAACTTGTGGATATGGTAGTATAGCAGCTCCTTAAATAGGCTTTATTTTATGGAAAACGATGATGGTAGAGGCGATAGTCACTCCTGTGATTTCATTAACATCTGATTCACGACTCCCTCATAGCAGCCTGGATGGGGAGAAGAAGGTTAGAGATAGGTATGCTTCTGCTGGCCTGGAAAAAGGCAAGTATTCATATGGCAAGGAAGTTAGTGATCTCTTAGAGTTGGTAGTGGTCTCTGGCCAAGGAAAGGGTGACCTTAGCCATTATAGCTACAAGGACATGAACTCTGCCAAGAACCAGTGAGCTTGGAAAGGACCCTGAGCCTCAGCTGAGAATTGCAGCTATGGCTGAACCTTGGTTTCTGCCTAGTGAGATCCTGAGCAGGATACCCAGACTTCTAAGCCCGGGAAACTATGAAATAATAAATGGATATTGTTTTAATTTGTTAAGTTTGTGGTCATTTGTTACACAGCCGTAAAAATGGATACATTATTATTTCTCTGTATTAATTTGTACTATCCAATCAACTGTTAGTCAACCCTTTAAACTGAATCCCTCTGACCCATGCTCATTAAACTTGATATTTAGGTGCTGGATATATATTTGTCAGTTTGAATTGATTGCCATTCTTACTTGTTTCTATTCTTCAAAGGTTATGATATGAATAAAAGTTGGCTTTGTCTGTTTTATGTAGACATATATGTTCTATCTAGACTTTCTTGAATCACTTTTTCTAATTCTGTATCAGTATAGACATACAATCTTTAGTAATACGATTTTATTTTAATATTTCATTTTGTTATTTTTGTACTATACTATCTACCAGGAAGTACAACTTATTACCTCCTGAATGATGAGGAATAACTCAGACAGAATTTGACTCATTCTAAAATAACCTTTTATCTGATTGGAAAGTAAAGACTTACCAATCAAAGTTAGGCCCTTAGATATTGTCAAGTATTTCATATCAAGTCCATGATTAATGTTGAGAGTTTGATTATTTTTCTTCTCCCTTTGTGTATATCTTCTGTGCAATAAAATAACTTTTTTTACTATCCTGCCTAAAGGTGTATTTAATCCTAAAGTTCATTTTTGTCAATGTTGTTTGATAATTGAGACAATTTTTCCACAATGTTAGATGCTACGTACTTAACAGATTTCTGCTTCACTTTATAAATTCTATAATGCTGTCACTGAGCATTAATAAAGTAATTTATTTGACCTAAAAATATTTCTCACAGCTCTAAATCTATGTTAATTTCTGTGCTTATTCCCGATGGGATTTGAAATATTTAACTTCCTAGGCTGTTTGATTTCTGAACAGTTTATAAGGACCTGGAGGCTCAGTATAATGTGAATCAAATTAAGGAAATCCCCAAAATAAAGATGAAATAAAAAATAAATATTAAGAGAAGCATTTCAAAATTAATATTATATACCTCTAACTAATAAAGACATTCTTCATAGTATAAATAACCAGCTGATTTGGTTACTTAGTATCTGCAAAATCTGGGACACTTTTGCTTTATCCATTTTTGATGTATCTCTTATGAACGTGTTTTTAGAAAAATTATGAAATATTCCACATAAAAGACATTCTTCATAGTATAAATAACCAGCTGATTTGATTACTTAGTATCTGCAAAACTGGGACACTTTTGCTTTATCCATTTTGGATGTATCTCTTATGAACGCGTTTTTAGAAAAATTATGAAATATTCCACATGTGTAGTTTGATCATGTGATGATCATAATATTTAAGAGGCATATCTATTGTTTGAAAATATATTAGAATACTATTCAGCAATAAAAAGGAGTAGGCTGTTGATACATTTAACAACATGGAACAATCAAAACATTATACTGAGTAAAAGAAGCCACACACGAGTACAGATTTCATGATTCCATTTACATGAAATTACAGAGACGGCAGCTCGCACTCACAGGACAGAGCAGATGGTAGTTGCCGGAGTGGGGAGGCATCGGCTTCCAAGGAACATGAGGGGACTTGCTGGGGTGACGGATGTGCTTTTGATTGTGGTAGTGGCTGCACGAGTGTATACATTTGTCAAAATTCATCAACCTGTGCTCATATTGGGTGAAATAAGTGATTTTCAAAGGTCATATTGCTTCAGTATTCTAGTACAGTATTTTCAACGTTATTTCCAGTATAGGAATCTTCAGAGATGTTTACACACTTTCGTTTTCATAATTTTGTTAAAGAAAAACATTGAAACACTCAAATATTAAGTTAAGAAGATATTCACACCAGACTAAACTCAAATAGTAAACACTCTCCTAGGAGAAATGCCTATCTTTCACCAGAATTCTGATTCTGATGCTTGCCTTGAGATTCGCGTTTTGGAGATGTGTGTGAGGAACACCTGGATGGAGTTTCCTGCCTAATTATCTTACCTGTTTCTAGCAACTTTCATCTCTTGCTATTCAGACATCTTTAATTAGTTATCAGTATTTATCTTGAGCTGATATTTTAAAAATTAGTCTTTCTGATTTTTTAAAAATATATTTTTACTGATTTCAGACAGGAAGGGAGAGGGAGAGAGAGATAGAAACATCAATGATGAGAGAGAATCATTGATTGGCTGCCTCCTGCACACTCCACAATGGGCAACACGGGCATGTGCCCTGACTGAGAATCGAACTGTGACTTCCAGATTCATAAGTCGATGCTCAACCACTGAGCTACATTGGCTAGGCAAAATTAATCTTTCTTATAATATTACTAGTGGCCTGGTGCACGAAATTAGTGCACGGGGGTGAGGGGGGGGTCTCTTAGCCCACCCTGCACCCTCTCCAATCTGGGACCCCTCAGGGGATGTCCAACTGCCCACAGGGATCGGGCCTAAATGGGCAGTCAGACATCCCTCTCATAATCTGAGACTCCTGGCTCCCAACCACTCTCCTGCTTACCTGCCTGATTGCCCCTAACCACTTCTGCCTGCCAGCCTGATCACCCCCTAACCACTCCCCTGCCAGCTTGATTGACGCCTAACTGTTCCCCTGCCAGCTCGATTGCCCCCAGCTGCCCTCCCTGCCAGCCCGATTGCCCCAACTGCTCTCTTCTGCTGGCCTGATCGCCCCTAACCACCTCTGCCTTGGCCCCCTCCACTGTGGCTGGGGCGACCAAAGAAGCCAAGCCTCCTGCCCGCTCTCCGGCCGACTCTGTGGCTCCGGCCAGCGCCACCATCTTTGTCGCATCAACTTGCATATTCCCTCCTTATTGGCTGTGGGCTTCACCATCTTTATCGAAAAGTGATGGTTAATTTGCATATTACTCTTTTATTAGACAGGATATGCAACCCACTGTGTCAAGATGTTAACACAAATGCTATCTTGTAGAGTACACTGAAATGTCTTTTATTTGATTCTAGTATTTTTCTTTGTATTTTTTGTTATTCAGACTTCTTCCTTAAGATGTTATCACTTGGAAGCTCTTCTTCCTTTACTGTCAGTGTTCTGGATTCTGTTCTTATCACTTTACAGAAATGGGTTTTTTAAACGTTACCACTCAACTTTAGTCATAGCAGTGTGTCTTACTTTCAGTGCTTTGACCTCTGCATTTGAGGTCATTGGTTTCCTCACCTCAGTGATATTTTTCCACCATGACATCTGTAACATTATACACTTACTTCTTTTTAACTCTTACCCCTTTCTGATATCTCCTATTTTCTAACTTTGAGTTTTCTATGTGCTTGAATTCTTATGTGTCTGAAGTTGTATCCTTGTGTTTTTGCCTTTATCCTTCGTCATTCCCATGGAGAACCCAGAACTCCCTTAAGCACTTACGTTTTAGCTAAATGCCTTTTATTTCTAGGCGTCTTGACTTGGTGTCAGGGCAACAAGCCTTCTAACTATCCTCAATCTTGTTCTCTCTCTTATTCCTGTTTGTTATGCATAACTTGCCTTACTGAATTTCTTAAAAACTGTTTTTGTATTCTATTCCCACTAGAAAGTTTATAAATGCTTTCTGTTGTTTATTATATGAACTCAAACACCCAGGTTTGATAGCAGTTAGCTGTACTAACCTTTTATGACCAAGCTTAATTCCCTTATTTGCCTTCCTTCTAATTATATCTGTCTTCCTAAATCCTCCCCCTACTGCCAACACCCAAATATATACATACATTGCTTATTTTTGCTTTAATACTCTGGCTCATTTAGTATGTCTGTTTCTCTCCCTCTCTCTCCCTCCCTTTCTCTCCCTTCCTTTCTCTCCCTCCCTCTCCCTCTCTCCCTCTCCCTCCCGCTCCCTCTCCCGCTCTATTGCTTTCAAGGCTGGGTTGAACAATATATTTTTCCAGTGTTTTTTCTTTAATTTTTAGAGATTTTTTTAACTTTTGACAATTTTTTTTCTATTTTGTAAATTTGCTCAGTACCAACTGCTTTAGAGCATGCCTATGACCATTCATTTGCCATAGGCATGAAATGTTTTTCTAGTTTTGTGCTTAAGAATCTATATGGTGTTTTTGTTTCTTTTATTTATACCTAGAGTGTGTTTCAGTGGTGTTTATGTTTTCATTGCTTGTTGAATTGAAGGATTTGGGGTATGTTAAATACCATATGCAAATGTTTTTGTTAGCTATAATTTTGAATGTTACAAAAGCAGCTCTGCTTTACTTATAAGCTATACATATTTAAACTGAAAAGAATGGGATCACTTAAAATGTATACTAGAATCTTGTTTCAAAACATATTAATTAAGACCAGATTTTTTCCTGTTTACATGAATTTAGTGACATTTTATATTTTTGTTTGTTGCATTAAATTATGTTTTATTGTTAGTTACAAAGTATATTACTTTTTTATTGTTAATGATTATAATATAGTAGGAAGACATTTTCCTTAGGCAATATGTTTATTAATATTTTCAAATTAGATAATTGCCTTTTGAAAGTCAAGTGTTGAAATTTTTTTCTTTTGAGGATGTTATGGGTGTTTTAGGTATTAAGAGATAATCATTTGAGAGCTCTTTTTTTTTTTAATTCCTAGGCTACGTTTTTTGGCAGTGGAGGGGCTGTGGCTCCATCATCTTTTTCTCCTCGGGGACAATATGAACATTATCATGCTATTTTTGATCGAATGCAGCAACAAAGAGCAGAAGATAATGAAGCTAAATGGAAAGGAGAAATATATGGCCGAAGGCTTCCAGAAAGGTAGGTTGTGTTCTGTAGAAGTTGCTTGTGCTTTGCTTCAGAGAAAGTAGTAAAAGTCGTTGTGCATATTTACCTACAGAGGAATATCACTTGGAGTACATTCAGGATTTCCCAATGGGGCTGCAGTTCATCACTATTTCTCTAATGCTGATGCTATTAGAGAAACTTTGAAGAGATTGAAGGCCATGTCTAACTAAGCCAATGCAAACCGGTCGAACTGTAATGATCCATAAGTGCATCCTTGTTTGTAATTTTTTTTTTATGTCACGTCTAGTTTAGTATCTACACTTTGTGAATGTTTTCTCCATTGATTTCATTGACTTTTTTTTTGCCTTCTGGGTTTAGTAATTTTCTCAGGTGCAAATTTGGCCTTTGATTAGGCAAACAAATAGCTCCTCAATTCAGCAGAATTTTCATAGCTTATTTGTATGTTATAGACTGAATGTACTATTTAAAGGAACATGTGATAACTTTGAGTTAACATATGGTTGTAATAACTTCATCCACTTGCTTTAAATAAATCAGAATATATTTAAATGGAATCACACTTTATGCAAAACTACAAAGCCATGTTTTTTTGGTGTTCTTTTCCTCATCACTTAGAACTCCACTTTTCTCTTTGTTGCTTTGGCTTGTTTTCTCTTCACATTCATTTCTGATTTATGGCTATGGTCTTGTTTATCAGATTTTTCTTTTCTTCCATTGAATTAATTTAATATGGTAGCAGTCAATAGTTTTAATTTGCATAGTTCCTTTTTTCTTAAGTGTGCATACATGTTTTCTTAGACAATTCCAATTTCTTTTATAAAACATTTGGATTTTCAGAATATCATTTTGTGAAAACGTTACCTCTTCCTTGTCATTTTAAGGAGAATACTTTATGATCCCCCCAATTAAAAATATGATTAAAGGTAGTTAAGCAGAGATAAATAATTGAGGTGAATATAAATTAACATTATTGAATAATGTACAGTAGCCTGAAGTAAGCTAATTGTAGATTCTCCATTGTAGAGAAAGGAAGGCTATAAAGACTCACATATGAATGCCTATTTTTTATGAGACGGCAAAGCAAATTTTATGTGTGGCTTTTATCCCCTGGTGTTATTGATCTTTCTAGTATATAACTGGTTTGGCTTTATTTTGTTTTATTTTAGTCAAATCTTCCTAAAATAAGTGTATCTATACATATGGTCACCTCCCTCTGCAGGGTGACCAGCAGGGTGATTGGAGGCCCCCCGCTGGCACCTACCTTGTCTGGCCTGGGGCCTGTGGGCTGGGGGCAGCTCCTGCATTGAGCATCTGCCCCCTGTGGTCAGTGCGCATCATAGCGACCCGTCATTCCGCTGTTCAGTTGATTTGTATATTAGGCTTTTATTATATAGGATTTGTGTCAACTTTGGTGGGCTTAGCTATACTCAAACATAGTATATATATTTTTTATGTTGCATTGGCGTTATTATTGATGATAGATAATATTTATAGAACACTTATTATATACCAAGTTGTATTCACTCATGGCAGCAACCCTTTGAATTAGATATTATTTTTTAAATAAATATGAAGAAATTAGGACTTACAGAGATTTAAAACTTGTGCATGGCAACTTGTAAGTGTTAGAGCTAGGATTTAAACTAAGTCCATCTGACTGGAGAGTTCCGCTCCTTAAACACTGTTAAGATATCCCCACTTCTTGAAATTCTACTATTGAACAGGCTAAAGTTACTGATTTTGTTGGTTATAAAATTTTAAAATTGCGGGTGCTTTAAAAATTAAATATGATATCAAGTGCTGAATGAACTTTCATATACACGATCCTTGAACAACATGGGTTTGAACTGCGCAAGTCCTCTTTAACATAGAATTTTTTCAATAAACTTACAGTTGGCCCTCTGTATCCCCAGGTTTTGCATCTGTGCATTCAACCAACCTTGGATGAAAAACCTTTAGTCTGCGGTTGGGAATTCACAAATGAGGAGGGCTGACTATGTGCATTGTTCCCCACCATTTGATATAATGGACTTGAGCATTTGGGGATTTTGATATATGTGGGGAAGGGAGGGGTCTGGAACCAGTCTCCCATGGAAACCAAAGGACAGCTGTAATTTGTATGTCATTGTCATTCCTGATCAGTTCTTTTCCCTGATTCTAACTAACTCAGTAAACAAATCTAATCATCTAAGACTTTCAGATTCTCTTTTTCAGATCACCCATATGTGCCATTTTCTTATTTATGGTATTAATTATTTTTTTCTCCCCTTATCAGTAACTTTGGCCAGTTCAACTTTGCATATATTCATATCTAAACACACCTCTTCAACTAATATTTTTTTTAGTCTTTTTTTTTTTTAAGAGCAGTTTTAGGTTCACAACAAACTTGAGGGAGGAAATACAGCGATTTCCCATATATTATCCCTGTTTGCATATTACCTTCCGCATTATCAACATCCCCAAGTTGTGGTACATTGGTTACATCTGATAAACTTAGGTTCAATTAGCATTTTAATATTGGAGCCACAGCCATGTAAGACCATTTTATTAAGCTATTGTATTACGTATCTCTTAGCACGTGTTTACAGTGCTTCCTACTTTTCCAAGTCTCCTCTACATTGCTTCATTTAATTGAGTAAAGCTAACAATAGTTCCATTCAATCAGATAGACATCATACCACTTAGAGGAGGAAGCTTAATGAGTAAACTCTCTATATCCTTTTTTCATCTCATTAACCCTATACTACTTCAGTTCTTCTATAAACCATATTGACTCATTTTTCATTTCTCACATTATTTGTGATGTTTTCAGCTCTTAAAGCAATTAATTTGTAGTCATTCTTCAAAAATTTAAAAAATTTTCATATCAGTAAAGGACTTGAGCCATGGATATTAGGTATCCTACCCAGATCTTGCCACTTATTCATGCTTTTATAATAATAAAAGGAGAGAAAATAACTTACTCCTTTTTTTCTCATGTCCAGATAAAAAAAGGAGTTTTAGAATAATTTTTTAACCTATTTTAATGTCTCTGTATTTTACTTTCCAAAATTCTTAATTGCTTACTTTATATTTGTGGCTTATATGTAGTTTATTTTTTCATTCCTTTATTATTAATGTAGATTAATGTTTTACTGATTTAAAGTGGTATAATTTTGGAACACAAAAGATAAAGTATATTTAATTGGCCTAAAACAGAGTATGTGCATATGAATTCTTAATAATGTTTAATGAAAAGAATAAATCTTAAGAAGTAAATTGACTATTTCCTCTTTATCCCACGAGCTTAGCACAAATATATAGTTTGTATCCAAAGTTTAGTCCAGTTTTACTTTAGAGAGGAATAAGGATGAGTATGGATTCTTTTTTGTTATTGTTGTTTGGTGTATATGAAGTAGTAAGCAGAAATGCATGAGAGAAATAAAGACAGTTTATAGATTTCTAAACATCATTAGGAGTCATAGGAACAATTAATCTTTTCTTTATTAATAAGGTGTACTACTCTGATTTTAGGATGTTGAACCAACCTTGCATTCCTGGAACTCTGTTTTATCTATCTTTATATTTTCAAAGGCAAGCATAATATTAGCAAATAGTTGACACTCAATAAGTATTTGTTTAATAAATGAGAAGAAAAAGAAATAGTGTTAAGCAAAGATAACTACAGGTTTTAAGTTTGTGATTGAGACCAGACAGTTATATAAACCTGCTTAAATAATAAGCCAGCTTAGGAAAAGACTAGTCAATGAAGCAAAACTTACAAATCATATAAATAGAGCAGGTAGTATTATCCTATACTAGTATAATAAAAGCCCAGTGACCAAATGGTGGAACGATCAGAATGACTGGTCACTATGACGCACACTGACCACCAGGGGGCAGACACTCAATGAAGGATCTGCCCCCCGATGGTCAGGGTGCTACCACAATGGGAGAGCTACTCGGTTGACCAGGATGAGTGGCTGCTCCCATTGAGAACCCCAGGCCGACAGGCAGGAACCCGGGCTGCGATCACCGGACATGGTCAGTTATATGTTGCTTTCTCTCAAGTTCGAAGAGTGTGTGACGTTAAAGTTGTAAATACTTCATCACAAGGGAAATTAGTCAAGCACTCTGAAAGTGTTTTTACTCTTAATGTGGTATACAGGGAGATATTAGAATAAGTTTAATCAATTTATCAGTCATTTTTATCAATGTTGTTTTTATATCATGTTTTTGTTGTTTTTATATCATGTCTTTGTTGTTATTTCATGTTATTTATTAATCAATTTATTATTTTCATATACATTTTACTAATTTTCTTTCATCTCAGACACTTCTATTATAGAGAAAGGGCAAATAGCGGTAATAAAATATTTCTTCTAGTTAATTTCCTTTCAATGTGCATGAATCCGTGCACTGGGCCACTAGTATAGTATAAAGAAAAATAGAGAAAGCTATGTTATGCTTCTTTACACTCATCTTCCAGAATGTTTCTTGGTTCTTCACAGTTAAAATGGCAAATATTGGACTACATTGGGCCATTTGCATCAGTCTCCTATTATAACCTTGAAATATTTGCATATACAGGATTGGGCAAAAGTAGTTTTACAGTTGTGAATATGTGAAACATAGTTAATAAAGCCATTGTAATAATCATAACCTGCATGTCCTTTCCATATGAACAACTGTAAACCTACTTTTGCCTACCTCTGTATTTGTACTTGAGTTTTAAATATTCTTAAATGGCTATGTATATCAGTTACCTCTTCTACTCTACCACATCTTCCATTTAGTCTTTTCTTTGAGCCTCAGATATAGCTTTAGCATTTTAATTTTTCAGTTTTTACACCATTTTTTGTTTTGAAATCATTTTATCATTTTACTAGAGGCCCGATGCACGAAATTCATGCCTGGGTAGGTCCCTAGGCCTGGCCAGCGATCAGGGCCGGTTTGTGTGGCAACCGGTGGGGCGATCAGGGGAGCACCTGTCCCTAGGCCTGGCCAGCGATCAGGGCCGATTTGTGTGGCAA